ATAAATTGTTATACGAGACTGAAAGTCACAATTCAGGAAGTGTAAGAGAAAGTAAAATGGCGTTTAAAAGTGCACAGAACTCGAATGAATGACAGGATATGTGAGAGTGTATTCAAAGTAGCTAGCTTAGAAGAAGGACAATCCGATAAGGAATCCGCCACAAAAAGATCCAAAGAATACTTGATTCTCCCGACAAAGGCTGGTGGCCTAAAATGTGTAAAGGTGAAGATAAAATAGACGCGAGAAAATGAAAATGGTACAGAAACTTCAAAATAACGACATAACTTCTCACAAACTACACCGGAGGAAACGAAACTGACCTTTTCCTGAAGTAGCTGGGACTGCTGAAGATAAGGCAAAAATGTGGTTTTAGAAGAACTGGCAAGACGAACCATCGATAGCAAATTTAACCTACTCCACTACAAAGAACATTGCACGAAATAGACGATCTCAAGGTCTGAAACATACATAATTTGTACCAAGAGAAGGAACCGGCAATTAATTTTGTACTTAAACAGAAGCTATTTGAAAACCTAATATTGAAAAAACTAAAAGAGCAGAATTTTTTAATTGCTAATATTGTCTGTCAGAAAGGAAAGGCAACGACTGAACCGTTGATAAGTAAATCAGAAGGAACCAATTTCCCTTTAAAATTACACATATAGGCATATTTATTTTGTACGAGGAAGAACCATTTCAATCCAAAAAAAAACGTTCTAAATCTTTCAGCGGATTTCCAAGACGTAAGTAGAGTCAAATCATTCTTCTACTGTCAAAAACGATTTTCTTAAGACGTTTTCGATACTAGTAGCCAACACAGTAATGAACTCGAAGCCCAATGTAGAGTAAGGTGGCTCCAGGTCTCGCGTTTTCTTGGTCGCCAAGGGCAATTTAAAAGTGTAATCGAGCGTTGGGTCCGTGTACTGGCCTCCTTTTTCATACCACATTAGTTTCCACAAACATGAGCGTCGGCGAAAAAAAAACAGCTAGATTGGTATTTTATCTAAACAGGCACATCTTCAGGGCAGTAAACCCGCAATGGCTACTTGTGATTCATACGACGGGCGTCTGAAAGTCTTGCTCAGCGCCTTTTAGCAGACTTTGTGCAAATTAACGAGCAAAAATCAGAAACTTGATTTTGCGTTGATAGGGCACTTAATCGACGGGTAAATATACCTTAGACAGCAGTACTTACGGTTTGATTGAATTTTGTAGTTCGCTGAAGGAAAGACTTAGCGCCGTCCACAAATTGTCCCCAGTTTATCAAGAGCTGCTTAGGTACCTCGAAGAACTTGAAAAGGAAAAATAATAGAGGATGAGTTTAATTGCTGCTTCGAGACAGATAAAAGAACCTAGCCAGGAAATAACTCAAAATTTATTCGCATGGCAAGTTAGTAACTATAATAGGTTGACTTAAACTCTAAAGATCTCTAAGATGGATGCAACGACTTGACATCAATGGCCTAATAACACCCACATAGAGGCCCCTACTTGAGTGTTGGTGGTGACGTTCGAAACCGGACGAAGGAATAAGTAGTTCAGCATTCTGGAGCTAATTCTAAAATCATATAGCCTCTCCAAATAACTATTTGATCTTGATAATTTCTTAACGACTTTAAGTTCGAACGGTATATAAAACAAAGTCAGCTATAACGACGTTTTCCGCATCAGGAAATCGTAACAGCAATTGTTCGACCCAACCACTACTATCATATCCGATATTATTTACTGTGGACCGTAAAGCGCTTGCTTCAAAACGATTTAATGTTCTGAGAATTAGAGTCTATAGGCATAAGGTGTAGCACAGGCAAACATTATGTTCCTATCAGAGAAAAACAAAAAGAGGGGAAACTACCTACTGCTTGTCTTGGCCTATTTTCATCTTTAAATGGGAGGACTACGATAAATCTGCTATCTGCAGATGGAATAATAAAAGGCGGCCACGAATACCACGACGTACATAGAGCTACTACAGCTTACACAAAACGATAGGACACAAGGGAGTTCTGAGCTGTACCCTAATTCCGACTGTCTAAACTGTTAATTACATATACAGTATTGCGGTTAAAC